TCCCCAAAACCCCAAAACCCCAAAACCCCAAAACCCCGGAAGTTCAAATTTATTTTTATTGTAAAAGATGTGTGAATAATTAATATTTCATTTAATAGTATATTTCATTGCTTACTTTTCTAGGAGATTATTGATTAATTAAAATCATAATCTGGTTCCTTTTCTTTCAATATTTCAGATTTATTGAAATTTAATTACATAGTTGAGATATAACTAATGAATGATAGAATTCCAAAAGCATAAAAAGGTAATGGATCTTTCATTGTAGCTATTTATGGAACTCCTAAAGTTATCATTCTTGCAAATATGTTGCATATTGAAAGTAAAGTCGATTTTATTTCAACTGGAAATAGCATGTTTGAGCATTTATAAACCAAAATGGAGATTGGGCATATACCAAGCCTGCCTATGAAAACTAATATAGAAACAAATATAGGAGATTTATCTGGTATAGTTATATACAATCCTGATGCTAAGAAGCATAAAAAATAAAATATTTGGAATGACGGCTTGATTCCAAATTTGTTTATAATTGGAACTGATATTCCATAGGAAATAATCATTCCTCCAGATTGCAAAAGATTATTCATGTATATGTCACCTTCAATATTTGTAAGATAGAAATTCATAAGGTAAAAATTGAAGATTCCAGCAGTCCACATTGTTGCCATAATTACCAAATTTTTTAAGAAAACTGAATATTTAAGGTAATATCTCAAAGATTCCCCAATATTATTCTTGTAATCTAAATTAAAATTTTGTTGTTGAATTTCATAATCATCAATATTTCCTATCTAATTAAATTAAGAGATTTCAATCATAACAGCTTTAGCATCTTGAAATTTGCCTATTGAAACAAGATAGCGAGGAGATTCTTTTATCCATAATACCATCACAGCTGAAATAAGGCTTAAAAATGTTCCAATATAAATTATTGGCTACCAATGATTTCCAATTAGCATAAAATATAATGTACCAAGTATTGTTGCTAATCCTTCACTTACTTATGCTATTGATACAACTATTGTTTCATGTTTCTATATTACTATCTCCATCATATATACATATCCAACGCATGCGTTAATAGCTGCCATTATTCCCAATAGAAACATTAGAAAATAAAATGTATAAAGATCATTAGCAATTAAAAATGCTCCTTAAGCAATTGTACCAACAAAGGCATTTACATAAAGAAGAGGTTTTCTCCCATATTTATCACTTAATGGAATGACGAGGAGCATACTGATCAATATTCCTACAAAGTAGAGGGATCCAAAGAGTCCAATTTATGATTCAGAATCGCAATAGAGCTCTAGTTATTCAACCCAATTATGAATACTATCTTAGCTTGAATAATCTGGCCTCCATTGATTCTTAGATAAAGAGCAAGCATATTCTCTGGTACAAGTACTCCAAATTTAGGTCTCATTATTGAGGCATTTAAATTTGGGTTGCTATTCAAAGTATGAAATATTATAGAGTAAAATGCAGCTATTTGATACCAAACTAATTCCAAATACTAGTGAATAAAGCTAGTATCATCCAAAGCCCCCAACTATCTCATAGGCTTAATCTAAATTGATAAATTTAGAATTATTTCCTGTATCTATTTCTGCTTCAGTATTATAGTTTTAATGGATCATCTATTCATTCAAGAGTTTTGACTCTACGTCACCTTCTTTTTATAAGACAATATCTTCATATTTAGATTTCATTTATTTATATAAGTTTAATCTAGCATTTATTGTTCCTTATAATCTCTATCAATTTTATTTCATGGGGTTTTGGGGTTTTGGGGTTTTGGGG